GTCCGATACAGTCATGATATAACAATATTGTATACAAGTTGTTAACAGCTTGTAACAAGGTTGTTGATATTATCAGACTTGTAGCAAGGTTGTTCCAACGAGTTTGATACAGTCATGATATAACAATATTGTATACAAGTTGTTAACAGCTTGTAACAAGCTTGTTGATATTATCAGACTTGTAGCAAAGTTGTTCCAACAAGTCTGATACAATCATGATATAACAATATTGTACAAGTTGTTTAAACAGCTTGTAACAAGCTTGTTGATATTATCAGACTTGTAGCAAGGTTGTTCCCACAAGTCTCATACAGTCATAATATAACAATATTGTACAAGTTGATTAAGCAGCTTGTAACAAGCTTGTTGATATTATCAGACTTGTAGCAAGATTGTTCCAACAAGTCTGATACAGTCATGATATAACAATATTGTATACAACTTGTTGATATTATCTGACTTGTAGCAAGATTGTTCCAACAAGTCCGATACAGTCATGATATAACAATATTGTACAAGTTGATTAAACAGCTTGTAACAAGCTTGTTGATATTATCAGACTTGTAGCAAGATTGTTCCAACAAGTCCGATACAGTCATGATATAACAATATTGTATACAAGTTGTTAACAGCTTGTAACAAGCTTGTTGATATTTTCAGACTTGAAGCAAGGTTGTTCCAACAAGTCTGATACAGTCATGATATAACAATATTGTATACAAGTTGTTAACAGCTTGTAACAAGCTTGTTGATATTATCAGACTTGTAGCAAGGTTGGTCCAACAAGTCTGATACAGTCATGATATAACAATATTGTATACAAGTTGTTAACAGCTTGTAACAAGGTTGTTGATATTATCAGACTTGTAGCAAGGTTGTTCCAACAAGTCTGATACAGTCACGATATAACAATATTGTACAAGTTGTTTAACAGCTTGTAACAAGCTTGTTGATATTATCAGACTTGTAGCAAGGTTGTTCCAACAAGTCTGATACAGTCATGATATAACAATATTGTAGACAAGTTGTTTAAACAGCTTGTAACAAGCTTGTTTATATTATCAGACTTGTTGCAAGATTGTTCCAACAAGTGCGATACAGTCATGATATAACAATATTGTACAAGTTGTTTAAACAACTTGTAACAGGCTTGTTGATATTATCAGACTAGTAGCAAGGTTGTTCCAACAAGTCTGATACAGTCATGATATAACAATATTGTATACAAGTTGTTAACAGCTTGTAACAAGGTTGTTGATATTATCACATTTGTAGCAAGATTGTTCCAACAAGTCTGATACAGTCATGATATAACAATATTGTACAAGTTGTTTAAACAGCTTGTAACAAGCTTGTTGATATTATCAGACTTGTAGCAAGATTGTTCCAACAAGTCTGATACAGTCGTGATATAACAATATTGTATACAAGTTGTTTAACAGCTTGTAATAAGGTTGTTGATATTGTCTGACTTGTAGCAAGGTTGTTCCAACAAGTCTGATACAGTCATGATATAACAATATTGTATACAAGTTGTTAACAGCTTGTAACAAGGTTGTAAATATTATCAGACCTGGAGCAAGGTTGTTCCAACAAATCTGATACAGTCATGATATAACAATATTGTATACAAATTGTTAACAGCTTGTAACAATGTTGTTGTTATTATCAGACTTGTAGCAAAGTTGTTCCAACAAGTCCGATACAGTCATGATATATCAATATTGTATACAAGTTGTTAACATCTTTTAGTGTAATTACATAGGTGATTATTGAAAATTCTCCACGCTGATTGGTTGCCGTTGAGGTGATTATTATGCGATAATCACATAAGCGATTTTCAAAATGGCGGTCCAAGCCGTTTTGTCAATTAAATGACGAAGAAATGTGCATTTTAAAATTTGTTTCCAAATAGTCACTTATTAAATTATAATAAAACAATTATTCACCTGAGGCTCGGTGATTATCGTGAATAAAAACCTCGACTTCGTCTCGGTTTTTATTCACCGATAATCACCTCGCCTTCGGCGAATAATTGTTAAATAACAAGCTTGTTGATATCATCAGACTTGTAGCAAGATTGTTCCAACAAGTCTGATACAGTCAAGATATAACAATATTGTATAAGTTGATTAACAGCTTGTAAGAAGCTTGTTGATATTATCAGACTTGTAGCAAGGTTGTTCGAACAAGTCCGTTACAGTCATGATATAACAATATTGTATTCAAGTTGTTAACAACTTGTAACAAGCTTGTTGATATTATCAGACTTGTAGCAAGATTGTTCCAACAAGTCTGATACAGTCATGGTATAACAATATTGTACAAGTTGTTAACAGCTTGTAACAAGCTTGTTGATATTATCAGACTTGTAGCAAGGTTGTTCCAACAAGTCTGATACAGTCATGATATAACAATATTGTATACAAGTTGTTAACTGCTTGTAACAAGGTTGTTGATATTATCAGACTTGTAGCAAGGTTGTTCCAACAAGTCTGATACAGTCATGATATAACACTATTGTATACAAGTTGTTAACAGCTTATAACAAGCTTGTTGATATTATCAGACTTGTAGCAAGATTGTTCCAACAAGTCTGATACAGTCATGATATAACAATATTGTACAAATTGTTTAAACAGCTTGTAACAAGCTTGTTGGGGAATATTCGCCGAGACGAAGTCGAGGTGAATTTTCCCTGATAATCACCGAGCCTGTGGCGAATAATTGTTTTAGTATTTTTACACAAGTCTGTCTTGTTTTTTGGGACTGAATTTATTTTAATTTCGTTTATTTCTTTATTAGTAACTTCCTGAAAACGGATTGGCCGCCATTTTGAAAATTTCGGTTTTGTTATATTCACCTGTAGGTGAATATATCAGCTTAATACGTCAAATTTGACCAATGAACTTGTAGGATTTGTTATGTTCACTTGTGCAAAAATACTAAATCCTGATATCAACTTGACAATTCGACAACCATGTTACAACTTGGTTGCTGTTCTATCCACTTATATTAAAATTAATTTACTTCGCAGGAGTCCAGTCTGAGTTATGAGCATTTGCGCAGACAAGTGGATGAAACTATGGGCGAAAAAGAACAATATATACAAAGTGCAAACGACGCGGCCAAGGTACATGAAACAATCTCTTCATCTTCTCCACATACGAAATACTATGAAATATCCCTGTGTATTTTTTTGAATTTTTTATGATATTATATAATTTTTCTTCAGTTGGCAGAGAAACGTAAACAGATGCTGGATGAGTTCTCAATCGACCAACAAAAGGTCGTGGCCGAGCACAAGGAACAACTAAAGAAATTGGAAACTAGTTATAAAGACGAAGCCAGGGAAAACCAGGAAGAATTCAAGGTGCTTATCAGTTTGGGCTGCGTTGAAATATAGTTTGTCTAGCCCACCTCAAACCAAAGCAATTTTCTGTCCCACACACGTAAAAATCTCACAACTTGTCAACAAGATGTGTTCGCAACAGGCTTGTAGCAAGCTCGTCAACAAGTTGTAACAATGCTGTTATTTCATCAAGTTGCTACAAGGTTGTCAACTCACAACTTGTTGACTAATTGTTGAATTGCAGGGCGATAACAAGTTGTTGAAACAACTTGTAGATAGATTAGATAGATAGATTTTTATTATAACAAGTCGGTTGAGCTCAACAACCTTGCAGCAAGTTGTCAACAAGCCGTTGACAAGTTGTCAACAAGCTGGGAACAAGCAGTGCGAACACATGCTGTTGACAAGTTGTTGGAACAGCATTGCTACAAGTCCGCTGTAGGTTTGTTAACAACTTGTGCGTTTTTACGTGTGTATAATTCTTAATCATTTAAACTTTTTTTAGAAAACTATTGAGGACCTAAAGACCCAATTACAAGGTGAAAAGGTATAGAAATGTTTGTAATTATTTAATGATTATATTATTACACATATAAAAAATCTCACATCTTGTAGCAAGTCTGCCAACAAGCCGTCAACAATATACAATTACTTTATGGTTTCCGTGTTTGGATGGCCTGATCCAAACACGCGGGAATGTTGCGAGAGTTAAGAAAAGCGCCGCAAAGCACGAGCCGAAGGCGAGTGATTTTGCACGCTTTTCTTAACTCGAGCAACATTCCCAAGTGTTTGGATCAGGCCATCCTAACAGGGAAACCATAAAGTAATTGTTTTAAAATAACTACAACACGATAGTCTTCCGTGTTTGGATGGCCTGATCCAAACACGGGTTTCGACCAATCAGAGCACGCGTTATATACATGTTATTTTATAAATTGTGTTCGCACTGCTTGTCCCAAGTTTGGAACAAGTTGTTAACAACTTGTAAGAACCTTGTTGATATTATCAGACGTGTTGCAAGGTTGTTCCAACAAGTCTGATTCAGTCATGATATAACAATATTGTTACAACCTTGTGTCGTCAACCTTGTAACATTCTTTTTATATCATGACCGTATCAGACTTGTTAGAACAACCTTGTAACAAGTCTGATAATGCCATCAAGCTTGTTACACGTTGTTAACAGCTTGTTCCAAACTTGTTATAACAACTGGGAACAAGCAGTACGAACACAAGTTGTCGACAGCTTGTGAACAGATTTGTAACAACTTGTTTGCAGACCTGGAACAACTTGTGATCCAAATTAATGCCACGCCCTTGCCACACCCATATTCAGTTCACTGACCACACGCAGGGTATTTGCGGGCTCAAATTTGCTTTTTAAATCTTGAAAAAAATTTATATTTTACAAATTGCAATCCGTCGTTTATTTCAACCATCCTTTGAGAATCGTTCATTCTTTTGTCTGATTTTTGTTGGAAATATACTAAACAAGGTATTTTTATCGTTATTTTTTTATTTTGGGCAGGATAAAAACAATAGCAACATACGTACAGTATGAATATATGAACATGTGAATATGATTATGTGCTGATTAATTGAACGCATCGTGTAAAAACAGTAAAAACTCTTTGCTCTCTAGTCGATTGAACCATTTTTAATCGAACTGACGAGACTAATTGCTAAGTCGTTCAACTTTCAATTAGAACATTCATGTACAATTATGCAGTTAAATAAGTATCAAATATAAATTATTATATTGGGCCATTGCATTTTTAAACCAACCCCCCCCCCCCCTAGTGAGGACATCCATTTTTTGGTCCCCCGTCCCCTGGAATTTCCACATTTTTTAAGCGAATTTTTTGCCTCCCCCGTGGAATTTCCGCAGATTTTTATTGAATTTTAGCCATCCCCATGGAATTTCCGTAAATTTTTTATGAACTTTTAACCCATCCCATGGAAATTCCTTGACAGTTTTTGATCTAGCCAGTGGAAATTCCATATTGATTCTTTGATTAGTAGCTATCCCTTGGAAAATTCCTTGCTGATTTTGATCCTATCCTTTGGAATTTCTTTTCCATTGTTGACCCTCCCATGGAAATTCCATACGTTTTACTCATTTTTCTTAATTGGAATTTCTGCAGATTTGCTTTAAAATTTGGACCCTCCCATGGAAATTCCTTCATTTTTGGTTCACTTTTGCAGGGGGCCATTGGAAATTCCACATGTCCTCAATAGGGGGGTGCAGATAAAAAATGCAATGGCCCATTGTTTGTTTATAACTACACGCGTAAAAACGCACAGCTTGTAAGTTGTATTAACAAGTCTGCAAACAAGTTGTTACAAATCTGTTCACAAGCTGTCAACAAGTTGTGTTTGCACTGCTTGTTCCCAGTTTGTTGTAACAAGTTTGAAACAAGCTGTTAACAACTTGTAACAAGCTTGATGGCATTATCAGCCTTGTTACAAGACTGTGCTAACAAGTTTGTTACAGCCATGATATAACAAGGATGTTAGAAGGTTGTCAACACAAGGTTGTAACAATCTTGTTATTATATCAAGCATGTGACGGACTTGTCAGAACAACCTTGCAACAATTCTGATAATTTCAACAAAGTTGTTCCAAACCTGTTGACAACTTGGGACAAGCAGTGCGAATACATCTTGTTGACGGCTTGTTGGCAGACTTGTTACAAGATGTGAGATTTTTGCATGTGTAGAATATTTGTGACATATTTTGACAAGCATGTCTATTGGACTAAATCCCTGCTTGTTTAATTTCATGGCCATTGGCCATGCCCAATCGAGTGCCCATGCCCATTTGATTTTCAAGAGTGTTCCCCCCGCCACACTTCTAAAATTAGCAAAACATTAAGTTATTTTTGTTTACTTGGCCTTTTGTAGAAATTAAGGAAAGATCTTGAAGAAAGTCAACAGCAACTCACTGATGTCACGTCACAACTGACCTCTGTGGAAAGCAAGTGTGGATGGTTTGAGAGAAGATTATCTGAAACTGAGGTTTGTTGAAGAAAATTATTATAATTATATTTATTATATAAACGTAAGTGTTATATAGAGTTTTTGGCCACTGAGAAAAATCGTATTTAAACACACGTAAAAAGTACGATATTTTTATGTGTGAAATTATAATTTGTTGTAAAACGCATTGCCACGGACGTTTTATTGTTTTGTTTATAAATAAAAATAGAAAAATTCATGGTGCTTGGAAATACCAGATTTAGTTCTTGCGTTAATACATGTTGAGTTTTAACACAATATATGCTAAATTAATGTGTGAAACGTGCCATTTAATAACATTGGTGTATTAACGATTTTTGGTTGGAGTAACATGTTACGTTGGAAATTATTGTTAAAAGTCGACATGAATGACGTCACCTTTACTTGGTGTACTGATATTATGCACCAGTCAATGTAAATCCCCCCTCCCAACCGGGGAGGGGCCGGGGATTTAGCGGGGAAAGTGGTCAGTTTTTATTGTAAATATGTCGTCGATGGTGGGGGACTTGAGCAACATTTTCTCTTTCGGTAGATGATGCAGGGACGAAAGCGGGGGAATGGATTCAGTGGTTAATATATATATCCTGTGTTGCTGTTTTAGTTTTCTTTACAGGAAAACTTTAAATTTTCCCGGGGTTGAGAGACATGCGGGGACATTGATTAATTACCCTTTCCTTTTCGCTCTTACTACACCCCTAAGTCACAATCCCTGCCCCTCCCCGGTTGGAGGGGGTGGGGGTTTACATTGACTGGTGCATTTATTCATGACATTATAAAATCAGTATCAGGTAGATTGTGTCGTGAATAATTGGTAATTGGTCATTTCCGATGTCAATCACTAAAAGTAATATTAACTATGGCGCATTAGGGCAAAAATGAAATTGCAAGTTATCATTAATCTTTGGGATTTTTTAGGAAATTTTAACACAGGAGAAAACAAAAGCTGCTGAAACAATCGAAGGAATAAAGAGAGAACATGAAACAAATACAAATGATATAATTGCAAGACATGAAGCTCAACTTCAGGTATAATTTCATTTAAATTAACCAATAAAAAAAAACTTAAACTAAATAAACTTTATTTTTTCTGAATAGCTCTATCAGTTCTAGAATGTTCTCCTTGTGAGGTCCGGTAATAGTCGTCTCTTATTGATCTTCAGTGTTTCTACAGAAGGAAATTACCCAATTAAATTTTAACTTTATTTATATTTATCTAAACTGTTCTTCCTTAAGGTCCAGTAAGAGTCATCTCTTATTGATCCAGTTTTACTACAGGAGGAAACTTAAGCTAAACTAACTTTATTTATACTGGATAGTTCCATCAGTTCTATAAACTGTTCTTCCTTTGGAGGTCCAGTAAGGATCATCTCTTATTGATCCAGTGTTACTACAGGAGGAAACCTAGACTAAACTAACTTTATTTATACTGGATAGCTCTATAAGTTCTAAACTATTCTCCCTAGAGGTCCAGTAAGGATCATCTCTTATTGATCCAGTGTTACTACAGGAAGAAACCTAAACTAAACTAACTTTATTTATACGTGGATAGCTCTATATATAGTTCTGAACTGTTCTTCCTAGAGGTTCAGTAAGAATCATCTCTTATTGATCCAGTGTTACTATAGGAGGAAACCTAAACCAATTTTACTGTCATTCCAATTTTACTGTCATTCCAATTGAAGTGTTCCTCAAATATTGATTCAATACATTACCTCAGGCTGACCAATTCATTTCATCAAGTTCCTCGAGATATTCATACAGTACACTTCCTGTGAAAGAGCCAATTCCAAGTATTTGATCATTTCTGGTCACTTCCTTTCTATTTATGATTGGTTAGTTGCACAAACAACAAAGGCGATTGGTGCATTCAAACTATTCAACAGGAAGTTTACAATTATACTAGGAAGTGTATGAATATTTCGAGGAACTTGATCAAATGAATTGGTCAGCCCGAGGTAATGCATTGAATCAATACTTGAGGAACACTTCAATTGGAACGACAGTAAACTAACTTTATTTATACTGGATAGCTCTATCAGTTCTAAACTGTTGTCCCTAGAGGTCCAGTAAGGATCATCTCTTATTGATCTTGTGTTAACTAGAGGAGGAAACCTAAACTAAACTAACTTTTTATTATTTAGGAGCTTAACGAGAAATTAGGAGCCGTGGAGGCTGAAAAGCAAGAGCAGGAAAATGTTATTTCAAAATTCAAACAAGAAGTGAAAGACAAAGATGTTGAAAACGTGATAGCTGGCAAGAAAGGCGACCATTTAGTGAAAGATCTGAAGCGGCAATTAAAAATGGAGCGAAAGAAAACAGAACAACTACAGCAAAGATTGCAAGAAGCTTGCTCAGAAAACAGGGCAAGGGAAAGTAAGTGTTCTCAATATGTATGTGTATGCATGGAAAAGTTTAAACGACCTTTGGAATACAGCCCAATGCTCTGCCAACTGAGCTATGCGGTCAGGTCGGTTCGCGCGCGAGTATGTGATATATCAGAACAGAATCTATAGTTCCTTCGATATCATGTGTAATCTAGTAATCATGATTTTTTCTGTGTTGGTGTAATGTCACATATACTCGAACCGACCTGACCGTGTAACTCAGTTAATTGGCAGAGCATTGGGCTAGTATTCCAAAGGTCGTAGGTTCGTTTCCCACCGTGGCCAGGCATATTTTTCAAGCCTGCTCGGTGTGGATACACACTCAGAGTAACATCACAAGCTTCGATCATATTCACCTTAGGGACTGGTCATAAAGTAAAGGGGGGGGGGGACTGGGAAAATCATATATTTGGTGTCTGCAATTTTGGTAGCCCACCCCTTAATAGCTGCTCGAAAATTGTAGCCCACCCTTAAATTGGTGCTGAAAATTTGTGACCCACCCTTTCTGAAAGGCAAAAGATACCAGCATTCCATTTTTCTGTTGGCAAATAATTCTGTGTTATAATAATACTCGATAGCTATTCAAATGGTGCAATTAAATACAGAAAGGTCGTTCTTTGCATGGAACTTCCCATGCGTACTGTAGCTAGTGTCTTTCTCATAATTAGAGAACTTTATTTTGACATTTACGGCTAACACCAAACCTTTAACGCTAATTGTGATTTAACTACACTCTCATTGAAATTACAGTAATTTTGTTGCATATTACTAAACATCTTGTACAATGCTTGTGACATTTCACAATAATATCAGAAAATAAGTTAGCCATTATAACGTATTAGCAACAGTGGAGGACACTTTACGAAACATTGGGGGGGGGGGATGGGGCTCGGCATGGGAAAATTTTAAAATTTGAATCCTGGAAATGGCATTTGCAGCATTCTGAGAACACATTTTGTAAAAAGTATTATAGTTTTAAAATTTGAATCCTGGAAATGGCATTTGAAGCATTCTGAGAACACATTTTGAAAAAAACTAGGTTTTCAACACACTGTTTTAATGGTGCGTTTTTTTATAAATTACATGCTTATAGAAAACATTTCAGAGAAAATGTTTACATTTGTGAATGGAATTGCAAGGTGCTTTAATTTAATTAACACGCCAATGACAATGTAAAATTTATTCGCTAAGTGATGATGTTAATCGAATTGTCCATTGTTTTTGAGCATAATAGTTTAATATGCATTCAAATATTATTGTGCAGCAGGAAATTTCGCTATATAATTTTATAATATGAATTTTAATACACGTGCCCTTGAAAAAATTTCTGCATATTTTTGCATGGCCCACCCTTATGATTGCAATTAACTTTCGATGACCCCAGGGGCGGAGCGAAGACTATCCTTTTCGGGGGGTGCAAGACAACTTTATTCAGAACCATATTCATTTTTAAGTGATGTACAACAATGAAATCCGAGTAGTAAGATAATTTATTTTTAAAATAGGCGAAATAGCTCCTTAATAAAATACATGGTATAAATTTCAAAAAAGCACATCCAATCGTCATCAAACGGCCAATTACAAACTAAACATGTCGGTTTCTCTCCCTTCCGTTTGCGTATTTGCTTGCTACTTTCCATACTTTTTAAATCATCTTCGTACTTCTCATTGTATATAAGACCGTTAGGTGTAATTTCTAAGACTTTTACTGGCTTTACAAAATTATGAAATGAAGTGCAGATGCATCAACAGTCAACACGCACATGTGCTTCAAGTTTCCTATGGTATCATATTTCACAAAATTGCAAGAAAATATAATACTATTAAATAGCGTATTAGCGTAATAAGTTCTTGGCCAATTTGGCCGAATGTTCGGAAAAGGGCCGAGCTTTCAGTCGACATTATCCATCTTTTCGATCTCGCATTTTCTACAAATTTTCTACAAACAGTCTCTCTCCAATCAGGTGTTGCCTATTGGCTTGATCCAATTCATTTTGCCGACAACTGATTTATTGTGCCGACAGACACGGCAACCCCTGCACCCCCCCCCCTTAGCTACGCCCCTGGATGACCCACCCCTTCAACCGTGCTCAAAAATAGTGACCCACCCCCTATTTTTCCCAACCCAGCCCACCCCCCTTTTACTTTATGACTGGTCCCTGAGTACATTAAATTTACACCAACACAGAAAAAATCATCCTAAAACACTACCGGTACATTATAAAAACCATATGCAGTATGCAAACGTTCATAGCTGTGTAATTTAAACCAGCTGGTTCAGTTCACATCAGCAGCCATTAAATTCATGCATGTCAGATCATTTTGTGTCATGGACTGTACTCTGATATTTTAAAGAAAATTGGCAATAGTTCTCAAAATATTTGCTTAGTTCTGAAACTATTTAATAGACTGAAATAACAATAATAAATCCCAAATTGTTTGAAATGTTTTTAGTCATTTATAAATTTCAGACAGTAACCAGAAATGAACTTTTGGACCCATATTGGTCGCTTACTCTCAAGATAAAAAAATTAGTGTGACCCCACTCTTGACCCCACTCTTGACATACATGACTAACATGCATGTCCTCAATAATCCAAAATGGTGATTACAGCTCACTTTTTTCAGTCAAAATATTTTAAAAACTAAGGAAGATACAATATATAAACAATCTGTAAGTACTATTTACAACATGAGCGGCCGTGTTGTGCCGAACTCATCTTATGAGTTCATTGGCGAAGTAATTTTAAAAATAAACGTTGTCTAAGCCGAGAAAATCAAAGTTAAAGTTTATGTAAATCAACATGAATCTGTATCACATATACAGATACGACACGCTTATGATTTTCCTTTGTGTTTTCTTATGAATTATTAATGAGTTTTTTAATAGAGTTTAATAATTATGTAGTTTTAAGAGTTCTTTCAAATGAACTATTTTTCCCAGCAAGCCTTTCGCACTTTTAATCGACTTTTCCGCTTTGCGCAGGCAACCTTAATTGAAATAGCTGTATATAAAAAATGCTTTACTGGAATTAATGCAGCCTTAAGATTTTAACAATTGGAACAACGCACTATTTAATTATTCACTTTTTCGTAGATTTTGAAAGTATATTTGATCCTAATATGTCTAAAGAAAGTGGTCGAAGAAATAGCGGGTACGTTTTGTGAACAATTATTAATTAATCGCAAGAAAATAGTATCAGAATTATTATATCAGTACGTTGCATGCATGGTACGTACTGTATAATTGAATTTTCTATTCATTATTTATAGAGATTCATCGATGCTTAGTGGTTCCTCCTTAACTAATGATTCGCATGACATGAAGGTACAACTAACTAACTAAATATTACAGCAATCGAAGCCCTGTCAGATTCCCAGAGAATTAACCCATTGAGCTGCAATTAAATGTGCCCCAGTGTGCCCTACTTTTTTTTTTACCTGTCTAACATAACGCCAGACAATTTTACTCATCAATGGGGAAGCTCTGCAGCTTAATGGGTTATAATAAAAAATCTGACAACGTCTCTAGTTAACCCATTTGAGTCGCAATGCACCCCAGTGCACCCTACTTATTTTTTTAACTTGTCTAACGCCAGACGATTTTACTCGTCAGTGGGGAAGTTCTGCAGCTTAATTTAATGGCAACCAAAAAATCTGACAATGTCTCTAGTTAACCCATTGAACCGCAGTGCGCCCTACTTATTTTTTTTACTTGTGTAACGCCAGACGATTTTACTCGTCAATGGGGAAGCTCTGCAGTTAGCTTAATGGTTAAGACAGATCCGCTAATAACCTGTGATCATTGTCCATTATCAGTGTGTCCATATATTCATATATTTGTGTTCACAGACCTTAAAAATAATTTATTTCAAACGAAATAAAATAATATAGCCTGCATGGTTACAAACCTCAATGAGGTCACTCTCTTCCCATACTGATATAGTATACTGTACATGTACAGTTATTACTGTAGTTTTATATTTAGTGTCCAATCAAAATGTCCCTTGGAGGACAAGTGTCATTTTTTCCGTCATTATTTTACAGGATCCAAGTCCTGATTCATCATTCAATGTTAGTGTCAATGATGAAACTGTGGACCTCATTTCACGTGTTGCCGACCTTCAGCAGGAGAAATGGCAACTGGAAGAAAGGGTAAGATACAATAATAGACGTATAGTTATAATTAAAGTATTAGTTTAGCTTATAATACTTTTTGGTTGTGGAAACACCGCATAAATTTATCACTGCAAAGCTTTCGATCTGTGAACCTGGATCTTCATCAGTGTTATTAATATTATATCAAAAAAGATGTGGGATTATTAAAGTTTTACAGTAATAAATTTATGTGGTGTTTCCACAAGCAAACTATTACAGTATATGTGTGTTTTATCGCCATGCCAACCTACAAAGACCTTTAAGTATTAGTTTATAGTTTAGGTTTCCTCCTGCAGCTATATATAACCATACTGAATCAGTAAGGGATGATCGTCACTGTACAGTATCTCTAGGAAGAACAGTTTAAAACTAGTACATTATTTAATAGAACTGTCCAGTATAAATAAATTGAGTTTTGTTTAGGTTTCCTTCTGTACAAATTAACACTGGATCAATAAGAACTATGATCCCTACTGGACATCTAGGGAGAACAATTTAGAACTGATAGCGCTATCCAGTATAAATAAAGTTAGTTCAATTTAGGTTTCCTCCTGTAGTAATACTGAATCAATAAGAGATGATCCTTACTAGACCTCTACAGTAGGAAGAACATTTTAAAACTGATAGAGTTATCCAGTATAAATAAAGTTACTTTAGTTTAGGATTCCTCCTGTAGTAACACTGGATCAATAAGACATGAACCTTACTGGACCTCTAGGAAGAACAGTTTAGAACTGATAGAGCTATCCAGTATAAATAAAGTTAGTTTAGTTTAGGATTCCTCCTGTAGTAACACTGGATCAATAAGACATGATCCTTACTGGACCTCTAGGAAGAACAGTTTAGGTTTCCAATTTAGGTTTCCTTAACGGTCATCCCTACGTATTGTTCTGAAGCCGTTTTTTGTCATTTAATTTAGGTTCGTCATTTAGAGGAAAATTGTTCAGCAATGGCTGAAGACTTGATGAGAAAGTCAGCTGTTATTCAACATTATGCTATGGAATCGAAAATTGGTATGGGACTAATATTTATACTGGGTAACTTCATGTCATAGACGGATTTTCATATTTTTTACTGGGGTGGTGCCAGAAATTTTAGGGGGGTGAGCTGTGAGCAGGTGACTGAAGCAACACAAAGTGTCACCAAACCCCAGTAAGGTCTATATTCTAGGGGTGAAGCACTAGAACCGCGAGGGGGAGTCTAGAGAGCAGAAAACAAAGTATCCCTGGAAAATTTGAAAAAAATCATGATTTCTAGCTTCGAAAAAACGTTTTTTGAAGTTGTCATATCAATGGATTTGGCCTGTCCGATCAGGGCCGTAGCTAGGATGTATAGTTGGGGGGGGGGGGGGGGGG